ACGGTATACCGCGTTTGATGAGCTGAGTTTTCACTTGCTTCGCAATCAGATTTATCGCCACGTCATTGTCGCCACCTCTTGGAACGATGATATCAGCAAACTTCATGCCTGGTGCTATGTAAGCTTCAAAAGCTGGCTGAAAGAGGCGGAATGTATCTATCCCAGATAGCGCATCTCCTCCGCAAGATTAACATATTTTTTATCCAATTTAAGTTCGTGACAATCAGCTTATTTCTGCGCAAAAGGAAGAAATTTTTCTCGCTTTTGTGGTATATAACGAAACCACATGATCTTGTTGCATCAATCATTTGGATGACAAAGTGCTATGGTAATCTTGATTTAAATCAAAATCAATAACGCACATTGCAGCAATCACTTCGCTGTAATGTAGCGAAGTTTTTCCATTGTGCTACATCCACTGGCTGAAACAGAATCTTAGTTCAAAAACTAACTTCAAAGAAAGAATACGATAGTTATTTCTACGAATCTCCTAAGCAAGGTTATTGCAGTAAAGCACTGACAAATGGATGAATCCGAGGTATATCTGTACCTTAACGAATCGGAAATACTGATCAAGCACTCCAATGGTGTCACGGCCTCGTTCATTAATGTCTCGATTGAGGCGACGAGCTAAACGGACATCTCCATCTGTGTCCACGAACACCTTAAAATTATGCCTGCACAAAAAAAAATCAGCATTAGGGCGGCTTGATATAATCAAAGGCTTCTACTTTCATGTCCATCATAGCAACGATTTCAGGGCGATGGAAGGCGAGAATCCCTTCGAAAATCAACACATCCGCGCCATACATCATCTGTAACGTTTTAGAAAAGTAGAACAAGATGAAAGATAGTCCCACTTTCGCATCAAAAGTTATTTTTAACTGTACTCAAAAGCAGAAACAAACCTGACCTTTGGATTATTATCCCTAGAATGAGTAGTGAAGTCGTAAACCGGAACTTCGCAGTTTTTTCCCTCACGAAGTCTTGTTAGAACCTACATTATGAGATTATCATTATTATGACAGAAGGATTAAAAGGTCTTACCTCAAATAGAAGGTCGAAGTCGAAAGCATTGGGATGATCAAAATTGTAATTGGATTGTTCAGCAAGCTTATGTTCCTCTTCGTTCAAAACCTGTGAGTGATGATCTAATCTCAAGAAACGAAAAGATAGAATGTAAATGCACCTTATAAAAACTGTCCATGCTCAAAATCGTAACCCAAGGAATTTCAAGTTTTTCGATTATCTTCTCAGCAACTGTCGTTTTGCCGCTAGCGGAACTGAAGAAAAAATTCCACTCGCCTTCTCTACAGAAAAAAAAGCTGATCTACCCGCCACAAATCCCAATCAAATAAGGCTGCTTGAGGGTATTTCCAAACTTGTCATACCAGGGCGGTCTCCCTTTGGTATAGATCTTCTGGAAAAGATTTGTTCAAGAATTAAATTTCTAGAAAAAAGAAACAGTGCTTATATGCGTGATAGGCACCGTTT